TAATGGTGTTTGTAAATAGGATATCATGTCCGCATCTTGTACAGCAATTAACCACTAGGAAGAATGTATGCAATGTGTTAATTATTGAAACTGTCTTACCAATTTGGTTTGAAACTGTTGCATTGCTGTTTCTCAATAAAATTATGGAAAAAAAAACCTCACATGTATACCCCAAAATTTGTACACATACATTCAAGCAGCAACATTCTGCCCAAATATCCAAAAGTAGCCAAAATATGGAAGCAAATTAAATATCATGAACTTAAATGGGTTAGTAAAACTGGTATGTCCATAGAATGAAGCACAATTCAGATAGAAAAGGGAACAGAGTACCAATACATAGTATAACATGGGTGAAACTTGACAACACCATGTCAAGAGAAAAAAGCCTGACACAAAAGACAATGTATTACATAATTCCATTTATATTAAGTATCCAAAATATGGAAATCTATGGATCTAGAAAATAGATCAGGAGAGCTGGGGAGATAGCTCAGTGGACTAGGGACCTGTGTTTGATCCCTGGCACCACACGCCGCACCTGCCCCACTCTTAAGCATGCCGAGCCACACCAAGGTCGGGCATGGTGGTGCACCCCTGTAATCCCAGGGCTGGGGAGGCTAAAAACAGGAGGATAACTAGCTGTCCAAGCTGCACAGTAAGACCCTGTACCAAATACAAAAAAAAAAAAAAAAATACATCAAGGGTAGTGTATAGGGTACTTAATGGATATAGAATTTCCCTTCAGTAATGAAAACATTCTGGAATAAAATACTAGTACTGCCTACAAAACACTGTGAATATACTAAATATCCATTAATGGTAAATGTTAAGTAAGAGGGCTAGGGATACAGCTCAGTGGTAGAGCATACACCTAGCATACACGAAGACCTGAGATCAATCCCAGCACCATTAAGCAAAAGCAAATAGATGAAAAGGACAATATATTATATGACTGCTTATATAAAATATGCAGAAAAGACAAATTCATGGAGCCATTAAACATGTTAGTGGTTACTAAGGGTCTGAGAAGAGATTGCTGAATATGAGTTTCTTTTCGGGTGATAAAAATTTTGTGGTTAATGAGCCACAAGATTCTGTGGGCAGAACAACTTTATAAATATACTAAAAGCTACTGAATTATAGAATTTAAAAGACTGAATTTATGGTATGTAACTATATCTCAACTTAAAAAAATGAACTAGAACCAAAACCAGAGAACTGGTGGGTTTTAACAATCATCGCAATTCTGTAATCTTATAAAGGCATTGTATCTATAGGATGAAATAAAATTATATATGATCCTAAAATTCCTTAATAGCAAAATGAGGATTATTAAACAAGATAATTCAATTCTTAGAATATTAAAAAAAAAATAAATTACCTTTAACAAGCAAATTTATTCATACAAGATTACATTGTTTATAATATTTTTAAATGTTATGGTAAAACCAATGCTCCTAACTATAATTCATTAATAATCAATCTGTTACAAGAAAACTTCACTGGTATTTCAAAAACACTGATAATAATTTATTCACTTACAGTTTAGAATATTACAGACACTAAAACATTACTTAATCTGACTTTTAGAAAACATCAAATTTGTGAAATACTGGGTTAAGTTGGCAGTGCTTCAAATTTGTGCTAAAATATTGTAATATATTGTATACTGGGTTTTTGAAAAATTTGACAGTCTTACCATTCAGAGCTGGGAGCCTACGTTCCCTCCACTTGACTCTGGGCAGAGCTGTGACTGCTTCAACCAATAGAGTATGGTGGAAGTGACCTTTCTAAATTCCTGACCTAAAGAATCATTGAGCTGATTAAAATGATTATTGTTATACATCACTTAACTTGAAGTGGTGTATTATACAGCAGAGTTAACTGGAATAGCATAAATAGTCGTAAAAACAAGGAACTCTTGTCTCTGACAGTTCCCTTTTCATAGCACTCTAAAATCTATACTTTCTAAAGAAAAAGAAAAGGCCAGATATGTAAACATATCCATTTTTAAAGTAGACAAAATATTTTTCAATCACCTAAAAATAGGGTCAATATTTTAGTATGTTACAAGAGTTAAACTATCCCCAAAGGACATCTTAAAATTATATCATGTACATTACTGTAGACTTCTAAACAGTATATGGTTTTTCACACTGAGACATAATGGAGACAATTTATACTAAATGAAGTTTTAACAAGGTCCTTTCTAAAAATGATTCCAATTAGTCAGACTGTCCTCATTAACAAAAAGTTTGGCCTTGTGAATTATTTAAAAAAGGCTCTCATACTGGCTTAATAGACTTTAGACATCTTACCTTTCAAGCTAGGACAAATTCTGGCTCTGCCTATGCATCCTGGGTAAACAAAAAATGCTAACTTCCCTGGACCTTTATCTGAATCTTACTTGAGGCAATCAGAATTTTAAGGATTTAATGAGAGAAGATATGGAAATCTCAAAGCACTGTCTTAGGTACAAAAGAGTTATTTAATAACTCTGAAACCTAACTTTAGGACTCAAGACTACTGCTTTGTAGCACTAAAATAAGACACATACACTCACAGATACCATAAACGTTAGAGCTGTATATTGCATTTTATAAAATACAGTTAAAGCTAAGTATATAATAAAATAACATTTTTTTTTTTGCTAAATAGAGCATTTTATTAATGGAAAAAGGAATTTACAAATAGTTACCTTGATCAAGTATTTTTCCCATCTGTCTGCTGTAACAGATTTACCAATTTTCCTCATCAATTTCAAATGGAGCTCCACCAATTCTTTTGGTACTAAAAGGAAGGGAAAAAATGCTATTAGCTTTTTGTAAATTCAAAAGCAAAACAAACAAGAAACAAATTTACTTCATGAAGATTTTCTTTTTTATTTTTTTTCAGGTTTTATTATACATAACTTTTTTTCAAACAGATGACACTGATTCTATTCCTTTTGAATCAAAATTGCCTCAACTAGAAGCAAGACTGCTTCAAAATTAGTGAGCAGGAATATCTTCTTTCAAACTGCTCTCAAGGAGACATAGAATCTAATATAATCTACACACTTCAGGTGCTAATTATTGTAGATTCATGAGTTTTAACAAACATACCACTGTAGTGGAGGAAGTCATGCATATGTGGGGACAAAAATACACGTGAATGTTTTGAACTGCAACTTGCCCTTGATTTTTTGTGAATAAAACTCTGCTCGAAAAACTAATGCTGGGAAAAGAAAAACAAAAACAAAGAACAAAAAAACCTTTCATAAATATCACTGATAGCTCAGTGGAGAGTCTTTTTCTAGCATACATAAGGCCTCGGCTCTATCTCCAGTACTACATGAAAAGCAAAATAGAAAAACTACCACCAGGCTAGAGATGGACTGACACTTGCCTACTATGTAAGAAGTCCCAAGTTCAATCCTAGTACTGCAAGAAGTTAATACTAAAGTGTCATATAAAATCACTGAACTATACAACAAAAATGTCTAATCTGCTTGTTACCATACCAAATACTTGATATCTTTACTGAGAATCCACGCCAAAATATGATTCCACCAAATCAGAAATGACTCAAGGAATATAATTCCAAACTAGTGGATAACCCAGAAACTGGGTCTAATGGTTTTCAAGCCAATTCAAAAGTTCCTTTTGATCTATCACTCATCTAAGGCATGAAGCTTCTCCACAGCACTCCCATGGCTTTGCCTGACAACTCATAGACAAAAAAATTTACCTACCCTCCAAAGCCATAGTTCCTTTTCTAGGGAGCTTTTAACTATTAGAAAACTACCCTGCAGTCCTCTAACTTCCTCCTCTAGGGATGCTTCTTATTTTCTACTTTAGAAAATAAAACTTTCAATTCCTCTTCTACTGTTGCTATCAAAAATTTGGAAATTGCTGTATCTTCCCTTAGGTTTTCTAGTCTGACTGTAAATACCAGAGCTCCTCCAAAGACCCCTTGGGCAAGATCTAAGTTTTAAAATTATATTAATTAGGCCCAATGGATATTAAAGACGCACATACCTGCCAAATGTGCATTTTCCAAATGCCAACAGTGACGTAAGAGAAATGACAGGTATCCTACCTAAAGATTTCATAATCTAATATATTAGAAAAACACTGATTAAAAGAAAACCAGATGCTTACAGCAGAACCTCAGGAAATCATCTGACTCCTTATATGGTGTATTATGCATATCCAACGTAGAAATATGATCTGCATCATTCTACTAGGCCTGGTCTAATTTCTTATACCATATAAATTGTTAAAGGAACATTCTGACATTGGAAATTGATGGCACAAATTTTTTTCAGGCATCTTTTTCCAGCTCTTCATTCTTCACTAAAGCTATTTCTAACTTGCAACGACTTTGAAATATAAAGACATTCACTCCTTCAACGAATTTCTACAGCTTTACTTTCAGAAAGTAAAAAGTCCTACCTGTTTTTAATGAACCTGCATAAATAAAACTTCAGTGTTTCAGAGAATAATGGGTTATGGATAAGAGAAAGAAGATACCACACACAAGTTAAAAAAACAATTATCACAAGACTTAAAAGTATGAAGCTGGGACGAGTCCGTATAGAACAAAACGCTACAGCACAGAAAAGACACTACTTGTAGAAACAAAGGCAAGTATAAGTGGCTAAGAAAACCCAAAGTGATCATGGAAGTGGAGGCAAGAAACTGAACAGAACAGCTAGGAGGCCAGGCTAAGAAATTTAGATTTTGTTTAGACAGGAGACTGCTGTGTATTTTATAAAGATCTCAATGACTGGGAGGACGATACACTGTTAAATAAAAGCTGTTAGTTCCTCATTTTAGGAGCAGGAGTAAAAGGCAAGTATTAGATATAAATTGAAGAAAATATTAATCCAAAAACCAGAGAAGCCTGAACTAAGGTAGTGCGGCACCTACAGAAGTGGGCAGACCACAAAAGTGTTAAAGAAATAAAGTTAATAAAACTAAATGACTGCTTATGCAGTTATGGAGAGTCAAAACCAGAAGCATTAGCTTAGGGAACTGAATAGATACCAATGACAATACATTAGATGAAAATAAGAATGTAGGTTAAACACTAGCTCCACCATTCATACAAGTAGAGTCCTTTAGGAACTGAACCTCAATTTTGCCACCTGTAATAAAAAATTATGTTGACTATCTCACTGTTTTAAAATTGAAAATCTTTGTATAAAAGTATTTTTATTTCTCTTGTAAATTTTTGGAAACCATGGTCACCTTCAAGTTCTCCTTTTGGCCAAATGTGGCAATCCTACTGGCTTTTCCTTTCTACACCTCAATCCAGATCTCAATTTACCCTGTTTTTCTAAGATGTCACTACACCTTCTCACTTGAGGAAAATAACTATAAATAGTCTGCAACCAAACCAGTATTTCAACAGACACTGCCTTCATTTCATTTCTCAGAGGTGGTGGCACACCTCTATCATCCCAGCACTCAGGCAGCTGAGACAAGAGCATTCCAGGGAGTTCAAGGTCAACCTGGGCTGCACTGTAAGTTGAAGGCCAGCCTAAACTACACAGCAAAACAGGAAGGAAGAAAGGAAGGAAGGAAGGAAGGAAGGAAGGAAGGAAATAAATTAGTTTCACAAAGTTCCCCAGGTTGGCCTCAAACTTGCAATCTTCTTGCTTTCACCCTCCAACATAGAAGGGTTGCTTCCAGGAAGAAGGCAGTGATGAACAGCAGAGAAAAAGCTGCTCCCAGATTTAGTGTCCCTACGCTAGAAGACAGCAACATGAGTAGGAGAAGGAATAAATGGGTCCCCAGGGCCCTGGATGGACATGAATTGAGAATTGAAGCCCACAGAAAGAACAAAGAAACTTCAAAGATGACGAGGAAGAGGCAGGTGGTGCTTTCTCTGCAGGCGGACTCTCTGCCTAGGTGCCTAGGATTGAAGCCTGAACCTGCAGACCCATAGTGACAGCTGACGACCCCACAGGCCTCCACAGGGAAGCGCATCGGTGGAATGGAGCAATGGACACCACAGACTGGTGGCTTGTGAGTTCTTCCAGTTCAGACAGCCCACAAGGGAAGACAATTGGCTGACAGCCTCTTGGAAAGAGGCCGACTGAGTTCAGGACTCTGGAGGGGCTGCTCGCTCTACCTAGTGGCTCCCAGCCCAGATCCAACCCATAGCCGGCAGGTCTGTTTCCACTTAAAGCCAAGGCCAGCATTTCAGTGGAAATGGGGCTGCAGGTTGCTGGGATGGATCCACACGGATCTGGATTCTGCCTGCCACCCTGCCTACCAGAGGCAACAGAGACACACTGTGAAGTAGACATTCCTGTTTTCTTATTTCTCTTTATTTTCTTTTTCTTGTTCTTTGGTCTTCATTGTTCTTTGTTTAATCAGTGTGAACAGGGTTTCTAGATTTTTTTTGTTCTCTTCTGTTCTTGTCTTTATTTCTGTTTTTTTTTTTTCCTTTCCCTCCTTCCTATCATGTGCACCAGTTTCTAAAATTGCATGATCCTCCTTTGTCTTCCACTCTTAACTGCTAATTTTTCTCTCCTTTTCTGTTTCTCTATCCCCCCCCCCCCCCAACCTCTTAAATTTTCTCCCCTGAAGGTAAAAATGCCATATCCAGAGCTCATTTACTGCATGCAATTTTCTGGTTCCTTTTAGAGTTTCTTATAAGCAAAAGTCTAATTCATATGGTTAAAGGTGCCAAATTAATATGTATCTCAATTTGTCATTTTCTAGGCTGTGTGTGATGCTATTATTGCTCATTGTATCATTTTAGCCAAAGTGACATAATTGTTCTAACCAGTTGTTTTTTTTATTCATATACCGTACTGAGACTGTCTGAGGGTCATAAAAAATACTAAAGACCAGTGCCAAACAACCAGGACCTGGGCCACATACTAGCAACTTCTCATCCCCAATAAGCTGGAGAGATAGGCTCCTGCAACAGACTCAAAACCTGAAAGCAAGCTACACCTGGAAGACACCTCCAAGAAGCAGTCATTTTCTAAAGGTTCTAAATATGAGTAATAAAGCTGTTCCCCACAGACGTTACCAGCATCAACCTGGGAATTAAACTAATCAACAGGGGCCGGGGAGATGGCTCAGTAGGATAAGTGCTTGACTGGCAAATGCAAGGATCTGAGTTCAATCCCCAGTTCCGCCAAAAAAAAATAAATAAATAAAAAATAAACTAACAAACGAACAAAAAAACATAAATGAGAAGACATTTCAACAAGATGGAACCCAGCTCACCAAAGGCAAACCCAAGTGCAGTGAGGAGGGGCGGGGGGTGAGGAACAAACAAATGAACAAGGCTCTAGAAAAAAGTTAAATCAGAAATGATTTCTCAGATAACTACAGAGATTGTGACCATAACGAAAGAATGCTTAGTGACTCTAGAGCAGATATAGATTAAAAAATAGAGCAACTTAGTAAAATGTGGAAACCATGAATACCCAACATAGGAAAGAAATAGAATCTATTAAACAAGGTCAAACATATCTACCCCCTGCCCCCGGAACCAGGGACTGAACTCAGGCCCTTGTGCTTGCCAGGGAAGTGCTTATTCTCCTAAGCCATCTCCCCAGCCCCTCTAGAGAGATTAAAAGTCCACTAAAAGTATACAGAGCAGAACAAGCCAAGGTGAGGACAGAACCTCAGATACAGAAGACAGAATTATGGTCAGTGATCAAGAAAAGATGTAGCAAGGGAAAAACTGGGCATGGTGGTATACACCTATAATCCCAGCACTATGGGACACTGAGGCAGGGGATTACTGCAAATTCAAGAACAGCTTGGGCTACAAAATAA